TTGAAGCTAATATTTTAGACACTATATTAGTCAAACTGATTCCTCTGTGATTGTCACAAGAGGACTTTTGTCCTTTCTTATAAACTGGCACAATCAGTGATTGAGACCAGTCAGATGGGATTACGTCCAGTTCCCAAATTCTACCTAAGACCTCGGTTAATCTCATTGCTAATACTGGACCACCATCCTTAAAAATCTCAGGAGTAAACCTGTCAGGGCCTGCTGCTCTCCCTCGTTTCAGATTTCCTATGGCTTTTTCAACTTCATAAAGAGACGGAGGACCTACATTAACTTGCCATTCAGGTTGACTGGAGATCGTGGGAAACCGAAGTGTGGCTGAAGGCCAGTTGAACTGATCCCTAAAGTGTTCTGCCCATCGATCCAATCTCCTGGATTGAGAATGAATAATATGTCCATCTTTCTCTGAGATTGTTTCGCTAACAGTCGGGTTCCTAATTCCGGTTTCCTTAACGAGTCTAAACAATTGTCTGCTATTACCTATTGCCGTTGCCTTTTCCATCTCTCTTGCTTTCGCTACCCACCACTGTTCGCGATCACTGCGTAGACTTCTTGTTAGTTTGCGCCTAAGCTGACTCCGCTCTTCACTATGTTCAGAGCCAGGTGGAATGAGTTTCCGAGCATCTATCAGTGCGATAGATGCTGCTGAGATCCAGTGTTGCTCCCTAACCTTCTGGTTTACCTTACTAACAGATATCACTGCTGTTTCCACAGCTTTTCGGATATCATTCCATGCTGCCTCGGGGTGGGCATCACATACATGGCTGCCTAACTGTTTTCCTAGTTGTTCCTGAAATATACTCTTAGCTTGACTATCATTAAGTAGGCCCCTAAGAGGTTTCCTTGCAGCGGTTTTCCTACGTCCAGTAAGACGCAGGCAAATACGCGCTCGTACTAGAGCATGATCTGAATCTAGGCATGTGCTCCAGAATGAGCGACAGTCTTCTATCGAGCCCCTCCATCGGTGGCTGATAGCGATGTGATCTATTTGGGTCCAACGTTGGGACGAATTAGGGGGTCGCCATGTTAAAAGATGTTTTTCCTTATGCTTAAAGTTAGTATTTGCAAGGAACAGGCGATTATCTGAGCATAGCTGCAAAAGACGGTCGCCATTATCTGTTCTTTGAGCCACTATACTATAAGATCCACCCAGGTGTCTTTCCCTATCGCTTAGTTTACCTACTTGAGCATTAAAGTCACCGGCCACTATTACTACATCCGAGCGCTTAGCTTTTCGGAGAAGGTCCGAAAGCTTTCTGTAAAACTCATCTTTTACATCATCTGGGCTGCAGTCAGTGGGAGAATAGGCAGAGACGACGAAGAGGCAACGACGAGTGTCCGTATCTTTCCGGATTCTTACTGTTCCGTTCAGTCGGACAGCGCACAAACGACTGTCTACTGGGATCCACTCTAAGAGAGCTAGTTCTGCCCTAGGACTCAATGCTATACCTACGCCGGCGAGGCCACGGGAAGCAGAATCAGGGCTTCCAGATACACGAAGCGTGAATCGAGTCGGTTCTTTATTTTGGCATGGTGAGGTCAAATGAATGATGCTACTTGGATCCTGTATGCGCGTTTCGGAGACGCAACACACATCGATGGCGCGAGATTCTAAAGTCCTAGCTAAGAAAGCCTGCTGTCCTATTTGGCACAGTGTTCGGACGTTAAAAGCTCCTACGTGTAGTTTAGAGCGTGGTTTGAGGAGACCAGGAATAGAGTTCCACGTACTCGAATCGTTTGCCCTAGCGGTGCGAGGTGATAAAGAGACGTGAGGAGGGTTAGTCATGGAGATAAGAGAGGTATTAGAAGGTGTAGGAAGGATTTGAATGTGACCAACTTGGTCTCGCGTGCTGTTACGGGTTTGAGGGCTGATGTCACTTCCCGGCTGCCCACACCGTGGAAGGGTATTTCTTGAGGAACCTGAAAAGGAAATTGGATTAGTGTTGGTCTTAACGACCTGGGAGCGTGACCGCAGAGCCCAAGGGACAACTGCTTGAGGCCGGTCGCGCACGGCCTTTTTGTAGAAGGTTTTTGACGTGTTAGCTCCGTTCTTCAGATGGCCTTACCGCCGGAGACGGAAATCCGTGAGGTAAGGTGAGGTGTGACATTTTTAGGGTCGACCTTTTCTAACCCCACCCCTCCTTGTGGGAAGGCAGCATCGCTGTCATGCTGATTGTCCGAAGGAAACACCTTACTGCTGTCACACCTCTGTACAGTCAGCAGTACGACTTCGCCCTCAGACTTTGAGTTGCTGCTTTTAGTCTTACCGTTCACCAATCGACCTGCCTGGCATGGTAGAACCTACAGGAACATATGTTCCAGCCAATATAGCTCGGATGGGTCATCACGATAGGCAAGCCCGACCACCACGTCAAGGTAGCAGCTTCGGTCGGGCACATGATATGGTGAGCCAGATCCTAACTGATTTGAGTGCGATTGATATACAATATTGATTTTTTTTTCAAATCTTCCGTGACATATAGTCACATTTTAAGGGGTAATCACTTATATTAGTTACATCAGTTGGTTATAGGTAGTTAATTCTATGATACTATGTATCTATATTTATTCAGTAAATTATTAATTAATGTCAAGAACTACTTAGTTTTCTATATACAAATATGACTACTAATCAGTGTAAACTCTTTGAAAATTAGAGTATTTAGGTGTTTATTTAGACTTATTTTAAGCGTCAAATAAATCCTTATCTATTCACAATTGATTGATCACTGGATGGTGATCAGTGTCATGTGTGTTAAGTCCTTCTCAGTGCAGATCGAATGATATCGAGCAAGTCGCAATGTGGTCACTGATCTAGGTGACTCGACATTGGGTGCACTATGTTGAGATAAGATGGTGGTTGGAGATAATCAACAGGAAACCCTGGCCCCCAAATGCCCTGGTATGGCCGAGAGTGGGGAGAGTCCGCTCTCCCTCTCGAAATACTCTCACACGGCCACGCGTATATAGCCTCTGCCAGGGAAGTCCTACTCACTGCCTTCTCGTGGCGGGGGTGTTGTTTACGAAAATGAGAGGACGAAAAGCGAATGTCCGGCGCTTTAACCGGATTCCAAACCAATGGTGCACATGGGCTCCAGTATCCTGCGGGAACAAATGGCGAATGAACCAATTGTTGGTCACCGGTTACCATGGGAATGCATCTCCTTACGATGCTCCACTGCCTTGTGGATCAGACCTTTGGGTCGAAGGCTCGGGGTGTGGCCCCCTAAGAAAACCACCTGCTTCGGTTTGGGCACCCGGGCAGTATCACAGCCCTCACACATATCGGATGAGATTTGTGTGGCGCATATGTATTTGGTGCCTCTTTGTACCATTATCTATGTGTTGAAATAAATAAATAAATAAAAACCCTGGAATCGGGTTTCGTGCTACTTGGCATTCATCAGAAAGGTGTACCTGTAATCTTGAGGGAATCGGTGCTCCCTGATGGATCCGATCCCGTGTCACCCAGCTACACAGTCAGAGACGTTACCACTGGGCTATCCGGGCCGCGACCGACCTCCTGTAGGACTGAGGTGTATTCACAATTGATTGATCACTGGGTGGTGATCAATGTCATGTGTGTCAAGTTCTTATCTGTCGTCTTCATGTTCTTACATACCAGGTACTAAGTCAGTTAAGTATTCAGCAGATGCAACATAATATGTGTTCGATCACAAAATATGGCATTAAATATAGTGGCTGAAATCGGTGTGTATTTATATGTTAAGTGTTAAGTCATATGAATAGTGATAATTAAAGTAAACAACTATGTAATCAAGAATCACGATTAAGAGCAAAAACTAATCGAATGAGTAAACAATAAGGAATAGATACAATAGAAAGAGAATTATATAATAATTCAAACAATAGTTCATAACAATTATTTTTTTATTGTACAGGTTTACAACCTTTTTCTTTTTGAATACAAAAGTCAGTTCAGAAACACTTCGTATTAATGCCTAATGAAAAGCGGAGTAAAAGCGATATTTGTAGTTTATCAATAATTTTGAATGACTTATGCTTTAACCTTTTCCTAATGTCGAATATACATTAAGTGACTAGCCGTTACATTTAAAAGAAACAATGTTTTCCTTAAGGCAACATTTCGAGTAATATGCTTAGAAAACCTTATAGAAGGCTATCTCAAGATTGCGGGGTACACCTTGCTGATGAGTGCCAAATAGCACGAAGCTTGTCGACTACTTCCAACCAACACCTTATATCTATTTCAACATAGTTCATGCGATGTCGAGCCACCTAGACTAGTGGTCGCATAGCAATTTAATAGATAGGATTCGATTTGCACAAAGAATAACTTGACATTGGTCACTACTCAGTAATCAACCAATTAGAAAAACATTTCTTAGTCCTTTATAAATACATTCTACCTCAAGAACATGACATCCATAAATTCAACTGAAAGTGATAAGTGCAGGTCGATAAACTACATTTCATTTATAACTATTTGAGAAGCGGTGGAATTCAATTCATTTTGTAAATCTTGTAGTTCTTTATTTGTTAACAACATTTTTTTTCTTTAACCAAGCTAATTTTATGAAATATCATTTATAGTATTAAAGAATGTGTTATATCAATTAGCTGAGAGATTTAAGCATGATCAATACATATACATATCCAAATGGGTGTTTACATTAAATACCCTTGAATTGAAAAATGGTAATGACTTATTTTATCAAGATGAAATTCTAGCATACAGTATTGTTTTTTTTTAAAAGAACAATCTTTTATTATAAAGAAAAAAAGAATCACAAATGAATAGATAATCAGTAGGATTGTAACTGTCAAAATTTTACCAAAAAAACCCCAACATAATCCCCTGATCAAAACTTTGCGTCTAACTGAAAATTACAAAAAGAAACAACAACAGAAAAATAGATTTTGGAAAAAACAATAATAAAACAAAACAATAAATAATTTAAAAAGTAAATAAATGATAAACAAGTCATAACAACACTTACTTGATAAGCAGGACCACCATCAATAACAGTTCTTACAAAGACAGCATTCCATTGTGAATCATTAGTTTTATCAATTTGTACACTTGAATCTTTTTCATTAACAGTAACAGTAGTGTTAGTAGTAGCAGTAGTAGAACTACTGAGTTCACCACCAAGGGCATCATTACTATTAACACACGAATTATTTGACAATCGTCTTACTGATACACTTACACCTAAGGTGACAGGATTGCCTGTATGTCGTTTAACTGTTGATTGATGCATAGTAGAATCTGTATATTGTCGTATTGTTGTAATTTTATCGGATTCATTGACTTTAGTCAAAGGTAAATGTATATTCAATAAATAAATTGACCAGTGAGATGAATCGATTTCATGAAGTTTATATGAAGGATGTGAAGGTGGAAGGGGATGGAATTTTTGAGAGATGTCGGATGAACAACAATTCCATTCGGATAGCTTAAAGTAGAGGATAAGAAAAAATAAAAACAAATAGGTAAGTTAAGATTTACAAGAAAGTAAATTACAATTCTAAAAACTATTTTATGTTGAAAAAAGTCAGTAGAAAGTTTTGATGTCCTAGAAAAAGTAGAAATATTTTTTATATTATTATCTACAAATTTTTTTTACCTGAAGATAAGCTTTTTACTAATCTAATGAGTTTTTCATGGATGCTAATGAACTTCGTACATCGACACTACTAGTTCGAATGAATCAGTAGTACTTATGGTTACATCATTATAATAGTTTTTCTAATTAATAGGTAGGATTCATATGTAACAAACATTTCATCTTGACGAAGATATAAAAAAGGAACTGGAGACATAAAGTGGTTGCGTAGTGATTAGTTCAGATTAGATAAACAGAAAGGATAAAACAACAAGATGGAGACAATTTTTAAAAAGTACTAAGTACCTACAATTGAAAAGCGTAAGAAACAAAGATAGTTAAGACAGAGATTTTGTTGGACGATGGGATGCCTTTATTTGATCAATGTAAGGTTCAACCTAACAAGTCTCTGCTTGATCCGGTGTTTGGTAAACAATTCATTTATTATTAACCAACAGCATCAAACAATTCATTGTTATCTGTTTGATTATTTTACAAAAACAATAGTAATCATATATATGTTACACGTATATATTTTCCGAACTCAACGAGAACAGTTCACAGCGGTAGAATGGGACAAAGAGAAATATTGTGTAGTATACTCATTTTCAACTATACATTAGAACACTTTATATGCACTGGAGGTATCACAAATAGATAGATAAACATAAACATGGCGATTTGCGAGAAGATAATGAATAAATCTGCGTCACTGCAGCCAATTTTTAGTCATGTTATTTTATGTTACATTTAAACTATAAAATATAAATTTCGTGTTGATTATGGATAGGATGTCTGGATTTTAATACATAGCTAAAATCAACATCACAAGTTGATGAAAACCATAAGAATCTTTTGTCTCGGAAATCGCGGTCTAGTCAGACATCAACTTATCAACTTTAGTATGGCTAAGTACGGCTTTTTCTCACACAAAGTATCATATGTGGTCCTCTTCTCAAAACTTGTTTCAGGACAGCTATATCTTTTTAAATTTTAGGAGAGCGAAAAAAGTTAAGCCGATAGAGAGCTAAGTTAGTGACGAAAGTACTTCTAAGTTTGAGCAGAAAAAGAATATCAATATTATGCGGGATTACAGGACTAAACAATATTGACAATCAGTCGCTTTGAACTTGTTCTTGTAGTACAGACAAAGAGGGTGTTAATAGTCAGTAAACTCCGGTTGATGTATAAAAAAGTTGGTCTGTAAGGGCATTGGGCTCTAACCACACAACCCTCAAAGCTGAACACGAGAAAACTTGGAAAACAGATATTCAACATTTTATGCGGAAAAAAACACAACTATGGAGAAGGTGGAAAGGATTAATTGAATTCAATCGGATGGCATGGCTCAGCCTTGCAGGCGTGGTCATTCTTGTGTGTTGTCTTATCATTTTTATTCATATTAAATATATTGTTCCATCTCCAGCCTAAATGTGTTATCCACCATATATTGATGGTGATTACAATAGGACGAGTCAGTGTAGACAATGATGTGACTTCCACATGAGATCTTATAGATTAGGCACTCACATCATGACAAATGTACAATTTTAGGACTGGGTCTATTATTAGAACAGTACTGATAACGAAATCTGTGTGGAGATTATTTAAGAGTTAAACAAAGCGGAATCATTATAATTAAGAATCATTTCGTGTAGAGATATTTTACTAGGTTGCAGTAAGATGCATAGTAATAGTTAGACATAAACTCATCAATTCTAATAAGGCTACCCAAATAACTGAATAATTCAACGATCTTAACTGTTTTACTCTAATAACAAACTGGGCATTGAAATGTACAAACCTTAAAGCGACACTGCTCAGGTAAAAAAGAGGTCCTTGATAAATGAATTAAATTATTCAAAAGAATGTATTTTATGTTAACTTTACTTTACTTTGATGGTAAAACGTTCAAATAAGACCTTCGGAAATTTACCAAGTTAGACGAAATGAGTATCATCTCTAAAAGCTATAGGAAGTTGATAAATAAAGCTGTTATCCAAAGAGATAGAAGTTTCTTGACCTTAGATTCTGATTTATAATGTTACATAGTTTAAATAATTACATCAGAAAATTTATTCTATTGTAGAATTCATATAGGTACATTGTTCATTTGATAAATGACACAGAAGATATTGAGGAGGTAAAATGTTTATCTACAATTTATATTCTTCAATACAATCTATCCTTACTGATTATCTCAATTCACTTGGTCATTATCAAGAGGCAAATCCATCCCAAGCTGTGTGAAAATATAAGGTAGATAAGCATTGTCAATATCCCAAACTAAGATGATGTCAAATAATAACTTGTAATAAGCTTTTCCACAAGTCATAAACCCAATAAATATTCATTTTGGATCAGAAACATTAACAAAACCAACCAGAGCCGCATGATGGTGCAGAGCGCAACTGGGCTATTTTTGTGTTAATTATGTATATAGATGAGTTTATATTAACTCCGAAAACTTGAAATCAGGTATAATATTTTAGTACAAGAAGCTTATTTATAAGTTCATATTTTATATAGTCAGTTACAAAATAACAAACATTTATACTTTCTATTCTACAAGTTGACGTAAATATTTTTGTCAACAAAATCCAATCATAAAAACAAATGAAATAATCAAAATTTAGACTATAATTAACCTAATCTAAGGAAAGCAGTAATCCAGTTGAAAAGTTTGATTTATCTCTTTGCGGATCAGAATGCAAGTAGTGGTAATAGTAATGGTAGTCGTGGTAATAGTAACAGTAGTATGTAAACTATTGCTGGTTATTCTGTGCATACACACACACGAAACTACAATTAAGAGAATTGAGAGACATTCATTATTGTTTAGATTCGAGAATTACAATTATGGTTCAGTTTAAAATAAGTTTTAAAGGCTAGTAAACATTAGCTAAGAAAACATCAAAATTATTTTTCTTGTCTTATTTCGTTCTTCGTATTAGAGAGAGAAGGCTATGTTTGAACACTGGATAGATTTTTCACTCTTCAGACCTAGCAATTTAGACTACAGAGTCAAAATTCACTGGTTCACATTTCCAATTCCAGTAAGTTTGCGGATAGAGAATGCCGATCATTAAATGTCATCTGTAACATCTGTTTCGCTTTTAATATTACTTAAACTCCATAAATCATGGCTATTCTTTTGACATTACAAATCCATCTTGAAGCTAATGATTACTATAATTACTGCAAATACTACTATAATGATTGATCAGTCAGTCAGTAACAACGTGGAACTTCGTATGTACGTGCATCAGTTCGAGTTGTTATACCACATTGGCGCAGAGATGCAGTTGTCGATTCAATCACGTAGTGGTAGAAGTAGTAAGATTATAAACAGTAATCGGAAAGATTAGGGTTTGAAGATGTTATCCAAGGAGTATAATCCAGTGAAATAAATTTCAAAAGAGAAAAAAGGGACATGAAGAATTCAGGAGAACACAAAGAGTGGATGCACCTGCGCCACTGTAAACGACTTTGAGCCATGTCATTCAAGATCTCTAACCATCGGTTGCTATCATCTCGCGGTTCCCAACCAGGTAGTCTACACCTACCAACATGACTCAGTTCACTTATCAGTGACTTCATGGACTTATACAACCCAATAGATTACATCGCTATCAGCCACCGATGGAGAAGCTCAATTAGAGACGGTCGCTATTATCTGATCTATTCAGTGAAGACGCTGACAAAATGCAGTCTTCTGACCACTCTAAGCAACAATGCAAGCATGTTCGGCATGCGATTCTCCTCCTCGAAATGCAAAATGTTGCTTCAGGATTGGGTTCCATCGACACCCGAACTAGTGATAGGGAGTGAAGTAGTTGAGTGTGTCGACTGCTTCACTTATCTTGGAAGTCTCATCAGCCCTTGTGGTCTGGTGTGTGACGAAATATCAGCACGGATACAGAAGGCTCGACTAGCTTTTGCCAACTCAAGTCATTTATGGCGTAGGCGAGATATCCGTCTATCAACCAAAGGACGTGTTTACTGCGCAGCAGTTCGTTCCATCCTACTTTATGGCAGTGAAACATGGCCGGTAAGAGTAGAGGATATTCGTAGGTTACTAGTATTTGATCATAGGTGTCTTCGAAATATTGCTTGTATATCCTGGGACTGTCGAGTAATAACGCAGTTGTTAGGAAACGGGTACTAAGTAAGGATGGCGAATCAATCGATGAATTAGTGAAAATTCATCAGTTGAGATGGTTGGGACATGTTACGTAAGCCCAACCACCGAATGCCCCAACGTGTGATGTTTTGTGGTGTAGGAGTAGGTTGGAAGAAAGCTAGGGACGGCCAGACCAAAACATGGCACAAGTTCATGAAATCACTGACAAGTGGGCTGAGTGAGCCATGTTGGTAGGTGTAGACTACCTGGTTGGGAACCGCGAGATGATAGCAACCGATGGTTAGAGACCTTGAATGACATGCCTCAAAATCGTTTACAGTGGCGCAGGTGCATCCACTCTTTGTGTTCTCCTAAATTCTAATCTCCTGAATTCTTCATGTCCCTTTTTTCTCTTTTGAAATTTATTTCACTGGATTATACACCTTGGGTAACATATTCAAACCCTAATCTTTCCGATTATTGTTTATAATCTTACTACTTCTACCACTACGTGATTGAATCGACAACTGCATCTCTGTGCTAATGTGGTGTGGCAACCCGAACTAATGTACGTACATACGGAGTTCCTTGTTGTTACTGGCTGACTGATTATCTGTTCTTTGAGCCACGACACCATAAGATCCACCCAGGTGTCTTTTCGTTCCAATTAGTTTACCTACGTGACCAATAAAGTCACCAGCCACTATTACTATATAAGAGCGCCTAGCTTTTCAGAGAAGGTCGAAAAAATTTCTGTAAAACTCAGTTTTTACATCATCTGAGCTTCAGTCAGTGGGAGAATAGGCAGAGACGACGAAGAGGTAACGACGGGTGTCCCTATCTTTTCGAGTCCTTACTGTTCTGTTTAGTCGGACAGCGCACAAACGACTGTCTACTGGGATCCAGTCTAAGAGAGCTAGTTCCGCCCTAGGACTCAATGCTATGCTTACGCCAGTGTGGTCACGGGAAGTAGCATGAGGGCTTCCAGATACACAAAGCGTGAATCGAGTTGGTTCTTTATTTTGACATGGTGAGGTCAAATGAATGGCGCTACTCGGATCCTGTATGCGCCTTTCGGAGACGCAGCACACATCGATGGAGCGGGATTCTAACGTCCTAGCTAGGGAAGCCAGTTGTCCTATTTGGCACAGCGTTCGGACTTTAAAAGCTCCTACATGTACTTTGGAGTGTGGTTTCAAGAGACCAGGAATAACGTTCCGCGTACTCCAATCGTTTGCCCTAGCGGTGTGAGGTGATAAAGGGATGTGAGAAGGGCTGGTGAAGTAGATTAGAGAGTTGTTAGGAGGTGTAGGAAGGATTTGAATGTGACCAACTTGGTCTCGTGTGCTGTTACGGGTATGAGGGTTGATATCACTTCCGGGCTGCCCATACCGTGGAAGGGTATTTCTTGAAGAACCTGAAAAGGAAGTTGGATTAATGTCGGTCTTAACGACCTGGGAGCGTGACCACAGGGCCCAAGGGACAACTGTTTGAGGCCGGTCGCGCACGGCCTTTTGTGTAGGGTTTTTGAGGCGTTAGCTCCGTTCTTCAAATGGTCTTACCGCCGTGAGGTAAGATGAAATGTGACATTTTAGGGCCGACCTTTTCTAACCCCCTCCTTCCTTGTGAGAAGGCAGCATCGCTGCAGATGCTGGTTGTCTGAAGGAAACACCTTACTGCTGTCACACCTCTCTACAGTCAGCAGTACGACTTCGCCCTCAGACCTTGAGTTACTGCTTTTAGTCTTACCGTTTTCCGATCAACCTGCCTGGCATGGTAGAACCTACAGGAACATATGTTCCAGCCAATATATATCATCACGATAGGCAAGCCCCACCACCACGTCAAGGAAGCAGCTACGGTCGGGGGTCAGTCAACGAAATGATCCGTGTTCATCTGTGTTGATTAAATCACGCTAATTGGATTGTGTAGTAAGCGTAAACAACACGATAAGTTGATATACCAAGTTTATGGTAGCTACAGTTTCAAGTAAAATTCAATATTCCGAAAATTAGGTGATTTGTTAAAGAATGAAATCTTAATACACTGTGTACTCCTCTAAGTTGCAATATATATAATAAAATCAACGTAAGTGAATACACGAATGACAGTATATGGTGAAATTAACATATATCTTGGTTTAAACGCAAAAATATGAAGTTTCTATAACATTTCCCTTGACAAAACTGTAGTATCCAAAATAAAATATATAATACGCTTGACTCATGATTGTTAATGCTGTTGGAAAATTCAGTGACAAAGTTGTACAATTCAAACAAATCAATGCAGTACATTGGTTAACTGCATCAAAATAACTTAAATAATTGATGATCGTTATTTAAACAATTTTACTAAATGATAATAACTATATTTAACCAGCTGATTGGATGATTACTTGACTACTATCAACTATTGAGATTCAAACAAAGACAGCAATTCGATTAAATATATTACTTTTGAGGTAAAACAGTTTACACTTTTTAAGAAGAAGTACAAGTATAGTCAGCAGTAGTATTTAACGATAATACAGTAAAAGTTTAATTTGAAAACGTAAAATAGTTTGTAAATAAATAATGATACATAATGCACTAATGATATGTAAAAAGTTTTTTTTTAATGAAATATTTTATTTCTGTAGTAAATCCATAAAATTACTGGCGTTATCACACGATTACCACTAATACTGGTTACTACTTGTTCCTAATCTGGGATTTACTTTGACAGTTTAATCTCAGTGTACTAATGCAGTATGGCAACTTGTAACTGACTAACTAAGTTGATATGATGGAAAGAAAAGTCAATTTTCGATTGATTTATTCATTATGATCAGAATGGGTTTTGTGGAGATTTTAGAAATTTCACAGATTGAAATCATGAGTCAGTTGAAGCTAGACCACCATTGAAAACCTGGAAGCACTGGACGGCCGTTTCATCCTAGTATGGGACTCCTCAGCAGTGCGCATCCACCATTCATTATGAGTTTTGTTCAAGATTACTTCCGTTTTGATTCAAAGTAATGATTACTCGATGCAGTATTTGTTTTCTTTTCTCGTATATTTTATTCTGTATAATATGCGATATTTTTGTATTCCATTGACATGAACTATGCTCAGTATGTGATTTGTTATAAGTTTGAGTATTTTTCATATATGTGATTTCATCCCAATTATTAATCGAAATGGGTGTACAATCAATATATAAATGAGTGTATTTTCTACTAGAATCGTCGTCGTCGTGTTTTTGGGGTTAATAAATCATCACTTATACCAGTCTTTATGTTCTTACTTTCGCGTCGTGAAAATTGCAGAGGTCCCTCGTTCCGAGTATAAGTGATAAGCATTTCCGACATAACAATCAGCGACGACCATATACAAAAAGCAGCATTAAAAGAGCCAAGATAATAGGCATTCAAACAACAAATTATAACATAGGTATCACTCTACTTATTATTATTTTATTTAAACATATAAACCTTGGTATAAGGAGGCACCAAATATATATGTATCACACTTCGTCATTCGATTTGTGTGAGGGCTGGAATACTGCACGGGCGCCAAACCGAAGCAGGATCACTCTACTACTATTATTAAGATAAATTTCCAAGTCAACGAAGTAGTTCAATAAATCATAGGTGAAAAAAAAGAAAAATAAGCTAAACTTCATTAGGGACAGAACAAAACACTAACTATCAAGTAATAGATAAAAAAGATAATATGTACTATTGAATGCAGAGCCTAGTGCATGAGAGTGAAAGTGTAAAGTTTTGAGTTAAAGTATTAAAAAAAAACTATTATGTTTTACAACGTATTAACATACAAAACATACACAAAAATGAAAATCGATTAGAATAAACAGTAAATGGGAATGGAAAATACATGATTAAAAAATAAAAATATTAAAATGAACAATTGTCTCAGAACATAACATCTAGTATTCTTAGACCAGTAGATTTGTTGTATTGCTAATACCCTATATTCATATTTACAAGATTGAAATAAAGATTCTAGCAGAATAGCATGGATTCATTTTTATTTCGTAGGTTCTCGTCAGCTGCTTACAATCTGTGATATTTAAAATTATAGTTACATAATGGGTTCAAATTACTTACATGAAAGAGTTTGGTCGGAAGTTATATTTTTATATTAAAGACATATTCGCATAGTATAGCAATACAACAGCTAGAATCTTTGTTCTTTCTTTTTTCAAAATCATAAAGGGAACTATGTGTATAAACGATTGAAATAAAAAGTTCATTACATTTTAATTTTTCTTTTGCAATTTACTACTTTAATCAGAATCCTAATTTGTAGGTTAGACGCAGGATAACAGGGAATGATAGTAAATCAGTTGATGGGATTGTGAATCCGCATCGACTGGTTGGGCCACGTATTACTCATACTTAACCACCGACTACCACGGCGCGCCATGTTGACTAGTGTTGGAGATGGATGGAAGAAAGTTAGGTGTGGTCAAACCAAAACGTGGCATCAATCCCTAAAGTCAATAACTTCTGTTCTGAGCCATGTTGTTAAATCCAGACTACTTAATTTAAAAGTTGTTGTTGTGGTTATCCTTACCAGCTAGAGGCTATCAATAATTAACCAACAAAAAACTGTGTAACTTGAGGTATTTCTAGGAGACTTATGGGAAAAAGGTCAAAATCAATAACTTATAATCAACAGCAGTGAATAACAGTGAGAAATGTATGGATGCAACTTTTATCCCCCCCTACATTGTTTTTATGAACTTGTTTTATTAAGCGTTTTACTTTCAACTTTTGACCTTTCACAGTATGAACAATGGTACTATTCCGTTAGAATTTTAAGTAGTTGATTAGTCTTTCACGTAAGTATTATACAATTGTAACAGATCTGATGTAGTTTAACGAATATTTTAACAAATATTTTTTAAGTCTATCATCTAGAAATCAGGTTGATTTGGTACAATATTCATTAATGAAAAATTACAATTATCAATGCTAACCTTATCAGGTATTTTTATATCATGACTAGATGGTTGTTCCACAATCACTCTTTCATTATGTTGTTGTGTTATTGGTTGTGATGTTGATGATAATGAGGATATTGAAGATAATATTGATTTTGTTGGTTGTTCATTTACAGTATTTATACAACAACTTGATGCTATTGTACAGATAACAGATGGTTGCATAGTTTTCAAATCAGGTAGACATGGTTGATCAAGATTATTATGGTCATTATCATTATTGTCATTATTATTATTATTATTATTATTATTATTATTATTATTATTATTATTATTATTGATATCTGCATTATGGGAATTATTTCTTGATCGTTTGACAACTAAAGTAACAAGAGTATTTACAGGTTTACTTCGTAATAATGCAACAGTTTGTGCTTGACCAATCTCATTCACATCAATATTATCAACCTACATATATATATATGCATAAAAAATAGATAATAGAAAACAATTTTCTCTATTGACTTCCGAAATTTACACAGAAAATAATACAAAGATTAGAAAATTGCATTTGCATAAAAACATTAAAATTATTATTTTCTAGAATATTATATTGTTTTTAAGTAGAGTTGAGTAGTGGTTAACACTGGAATTCAAATAGCATATTTTATTTTATTTGAGATGCACGTGAATCCCAGTGTTGATGTTCACAGTGAAACTCGAACCCAGTACCTTTTATCCAACGAGCTATTGAGTCCAAATAGCCACTCATTTGTGTAACAAGGATGAATCTTAATTTAATTTGTAGGGATTTTTTAAATCTTCCCCTTGATGTTAAGGACCGGAGTTGATCAGTCTTTTCCTGTATACGTGCATCTTGATACTGCCATCCCTGTTGCACAAGTCAGCAGTCATATAGACTCTGTAGCTAAGCGAATAACCATACAGTTAATTGGGTTAGTCTTTTTAATAGCATTAAATAACTGCTGACTACTACTAAATAACATTTAACTCATTTACATACCGTTTTATTTAGTGTTTCTAGTAAGTCAGTGTATAGAAATCTGACAAATTTGTTTCTGATCGAGATCGGGGAGAGCTGAAATAGGTTTATCGGCATGAATTAGTTCGGATAAGTCTGTGGAGAACTGCTAGCTTTTAACATATTTCTTGTTGAAAATCTTTAAATATATTCACCGCTATTCTTCTACCATAGATAGAATACTTCGCTAGGTTGACTAAACAAAGTTTCAATGAAACCTGCTTCGTTTTGAGCTTGTGTAACCTAAAGCCATGAAGCTAGATTCTTGATAACGGCTTGATTTATGTTGTATCGCTAGAACTTCTATTTTATTATTGTAATTCTGTGGCAACATAATGTATGGTGAGAGCTAACAAGGTCTGCTTTACCAAGATAGGTCGGAACTTTCAAAAGCTACGAAATCTTTCTTGATTAAACACAATCGAAATTTTTGATTTAAGGTTAATCAGAATAAAATTAGATAGGTTTTTTTAGTGGGGGAAAGACCCTTTATTTACCTTCATTAGAAGATCACCAGGTTTTAATTGACCATCGATTAGAGCTGCTCCACCTGGTAGTATATTTTTCACACAGATAACTTTTTGACCCGATGATGTCAATGAATCACGACTAGTTAAACTAAATCCCAAACCATTAGAACCTGAAAAAGCAATCAGTAAAAAAAACAAACAGGAAAAAGTTAAAACTAGGTACAGAAAACTGATATTTATGAAAGACATTAGCGTTAGATAATAATACTGATGGTTATTTAGTTAAAACCACCGAAGAGCTTGGAACGAACATGTTTTGGACCAAGCTGTCACATCATATTAGCACAACGAAATCAAATTAAAGAAATGATTAGTGCAGGTCAATCAGTCATATGCAAAGTAAAACCTGACACACGTGCATCGGTTCAAGTTCCCACACTACATTAGCACAGGGAAGTAAGATTATTAAAAAACATACCAAAATAGTAGAATTAATAGTAGTTGAATCAGTAGTACAAACGATTATATGTAGAGATGAGAAAAACTATAAGGAAATTTCGAGACTCAAGATTCCAGAGGAGACAGAAAGTGAATGTACCTACGTTACTGTGAATGTTTATGAGCCATTATTAAACATCTCTAACCATAGGTTACGATAATCACGCGGATTCCAACCAGAAAGTCAGGGTCTATCTGCGTAACATATGTCAAAAATTACTTCGTTATATGAGGATTTAATCGACTCGTTATCGTCATCTAGTATTGTATGTCGAACTTTAACAATAACAATGAGAATGATTGATATCACTGAGTATGTAAACTTTAAGCAGTTTTTTTATAGATCAAAAGTGTAAGTAATTAGTATAAGCTCTTTTGATAACAATGAAAGCAAAAAAGGTGCATGAAAGATAAGTAATAGTAAAGCTATTCAGATATCTCAGGAAATTGGATTGAAATAAACAGATGGCAGTTATTTAGAATATTTCAAAGAAAGAAGGATAAGTGGAGTCCAGTGTCGATTCAGACAATTGAAACGATGAGTCTTTCTGAGTCTTTTTAAGTCCAGCTAGTCACATGAGACCTTTTACCTGGGTCGCTGCAGCATATTAATCTGACAGCAGAAATACCATTAGTTCACTAAATTTTAGAAGATTCGAAGCAAGACAGAGTAGTAAGCTCCGATGAATTAAGCATAGATGTTTTTAAAGATTGATCCACAACTAAGTAGCTTAACAGTAAATATTATCTGCCTTTAAACTCTGAGAATAGACATCATCGCTGACAGACCAAGTTCACAAAAAATAATAATAAATTAATGTCATAATGAAAAAAGGAGAGATTTTTATTTGACTAACACAATGTTAACAATGTCATTCAGAAATGATCAAAAATAGATTGTCCGACTGCGTATTTCATAATTTTTTTTTCGTAACCTATTATTAAAGATGAAGTTTTAAAAGAAATATTATGGAAAGTGGTCATCGGTGTACAAGATCCTGATTTACAATTCAGGGTATGTTAATGAAGTCATATGAACTGAAAATGGTCGGTTTCATGTCGATTAATTTTAGAAGACTTACAAAAGGCACCTTTGTAATGATAATATTACTAATACTAATGGTATTATGGGAATTAAATAACAATTGTGTTCACCCACAGATTTGTATCTTTTCTGTGAATTTGATAAAACTCTGTTAACTTAACTGAATAAAGTATTAGTAAATGTACTTATTAATGCTGTATGAATATTTCTCATCAATATTTTGGACGAAGTTCAGGAAAAAAAGAGTATTTACACACACAAGTGTAGACAATAGTTAAGCACTTTGTAACAGAGTTGCATTTATCGTTTATCGCCACCCAAGAATTAGAGTTCCAATTGTCCTTCGTATATAACTTTCTATTTAACCATATATACTTAAATATTTAGACTTTTTTAACTATCGTTGGTAGTGCTACTACTACTACTATTATTATTATTATCTTAACTTTATTTGCTATTCATCTTATTAGTTCCATCCCACTGTACTAATATGGTGTATATATCAACCTGGAATCGCATACATTATTATTGGATAACTCTATATCAACTATATGACTAACTGACTATACATACAATATTGAAATAATTATATTATTATACAAGAAAATCCATTTTACCTTTGCATAAATGAATTGTATGATAAGTAAATGTGTGCAAATCATCACTATTATTATTATCATTAACAATATTTGATTGTGAGTTGACAACAGATTTTGTTAATTCTTGTGATGATGGTAATTGATTGTTATTATTTTCTTGTTGTTTTTTCTCTTTTAAAAATTCGTCAATTAATGGTTTAATAATTCCTTCTGGAATACGAGTTAATACAGTGTTGGGAGAACGACGAGGTGGTGGTGGTGGTATAGGTTTTAACTGATTTGAATTAGATTTTATTTCAACTTCTTTAGCTTTAGACAATGGATCGGATACGATAACAATTAGACCACATGAAGGTTTCTCTGATTTCTCTGTAGTTGTCCTGTTTATTTTATCAATGTTTTGTATAGATAGTGAAGAACTATATTGGTAGGCTGAATGAGGAAGTACACGAAGTATTATTTCTGGTTCATTTAATGCCTCTTGAAATATATCACGACCCCTTGACAGAAAAGAAAAGGTATTATAAAAATAATTTACAAGAAAAAACTAAAATGACTATTAAAATAGAACCAAATTGTGGACATGATCTATATGATGTTGCTTAGATTTATTAGGTGAACTAACAGAATAGAATTTTATTGGTAATTTTCACCATAAACTGGCATAAGATTGAGAAGCATTGAAACTGAACAATACTAGAGAAAACAATACTGGGATGTAACTAATTTATTAAGAAAAGATTCGTGTATTCGGCTTTGAGCCATGCTTTATGTATGAAGACTAGTGAAGGTTAAACACTACTAGACAGACTTCTTAACAGTATGGACTTCTACGAACCCAACCAGGATTTATGTGTACTACATGGTGAGCACGACACTTTTAGAGTACTTAGTCGAAGTTCAAATAGTTTACATCTACACACTCAGTCCATTCATCTTACAATGTAAAAATCATCGAAGTTCGTAAGTAACTACTGTTTTATTCCCGTGGTGTTAAAACCACCAGTTTTACTGATCTCTAAAACTTTGAGCGAAGCTACCGCAAAGCTAGTTAAAAATGAACCCACAACGATGGATAAGATAGAGGGGTTAGATATTCCAATTAGTAGTTAGCTTTTAATATTGTATCAGCTATTCATGAAGAGAATAGATGGAATATAATTAAAATAACGTTATTTAATGGTTCCTAGTACCGATTTTACAATTTGTCCTTAAAAATAACAAATAGGCCATCTAGATATTCACTAAGTTAGCCTCTATTTATTCATGTTTAAGAAAAGATTAATCTTAATTTCCAAATCTAAATTAACTCGTTCGCCAGGTACTTGGGTATGATCAACACAAAGTGTGAGGGCTAATGATACTACAAAGTTGACCTAACCGAAGTGCTTGGGGAGGGATTTGAACCTGAGACTTAGTGGCTGAAATTCAAAAGCCTTAACCATCAAGCCATTGCTCCAACCGCAAAAACAGATAGTTTAATACATAGTAGCGATGTTCATTAACAGCAGAAAAAGGTTAGCCATCATCATTTTGCTATGTGTGATTAATGGATAACAATCTATATTTAAGAGTTTGTTGTGAATTACACAACGAGTGGGTTTGGTTAGGATACTGGAAAGCTTTCCCGTGGATGTACTGTGTGGCATGGCTAATAGGTTTCGGATTCATAAAGTATGTTTGGTTTATATAAAAGCCGTAGGCAAAAGGTGTACAGCCTTGGTGGTACTATCAGCATTTTATTGAATATTAGAGCCAAAACTACACTATTAACATGCATTCACAAAGACATTATCTCTCGTAGTATTAGACTAGGTAGTAGTATAGACTCTCTAGCATAAGAAACAAGGTCAGTAGCAGCCCAAATAGTTCAGTGGTGGTTTCGCAAACTGTGAAGTTGAATGCCTCCGTTTCGATTTCATGAAGTAGCACTAGTCTCCTCAAGATTGCAGGTAAGCCTTATTTGCCAATGCCACCGATCACGAGACGTAGGTCCATGATTCCCTCCAAACAACCAAATAGCAAAAGAAAAACAAAATATTGCTTACATTATGCCAAAAGGTTAACGGCACTATTTGTGTCCCAGGTTGGCACAAATTTGCTAAAAGATTAAAATATAGATTAAGGTCTACTGATCTAAATGTAAAAAACTCACTAGGGTGGAAAGTTTCATGTTTAATTAAAACAGATGCACTACTGTTTTACTTCAGTAGAAAATAAAAAAATAATGGTTTATAAAATATAACTAACTTTTCAAATGGTATACCGCTTAATGAAATTCCATTAATACTTAAAATCCGATCTCCAACAGATAAACATTGTTCACGTGCTACACGCCCATTCGGTAAAATACAATGAACTTCAAGACCACATTCACTTAATAAAAAATAAGAAATAAAAGTGATTACCCATTTATTTTGCTTTAATTTAGACTATTTAAAGCATTGGTAAAAACTGTGATATTTTCAATAGATTTATAAAGGGTTATAAAGTGAATAGCGATATGCTCTTTTTCACTTATATACATTAACAGAAAAGATATTATGTCAAGAATTCTATTTCTGATAAAACTGAGTTCATAATCAGTCGGAATATATTACAAAAGTAAGACCACTGAACATGTTGCGGATATATCACTTATTTATCATGCAACCATTAGTCTTAATTTAATAATCGCCAGGTTAGTTAATATACAAAACCTTACACCAACTACTGTTAGGTTAGACGTGTAATATAGATAGCTTTCATAAAACATGTAATTCAAAAATTGGGTTGAACTTGTACTTAGTTACTGAGTTACGGTAATCCGGTGACGATTAATATTAACAGCTGTTTGACTGATGATACGAGTTCAGTAGTGTAGTGACCGAGTGCTTTTGTACTGAGTTAAGCCTCCGGTCGAAATACATTACGTAGTATGGTGTAAATGACAGCTTAATTTCTGCATAAAATATGGTTGATGTACTGAAAACATATTATGTCATATACTCCTCTATATTTATTTTAGTTAATTATTATTACAATTACCTTAATTCTTATATTTGATTTATTCCAGCTGTAGTCAGTCAATCACACGTAACGTAGAACCTGGCACATATATGCATCGATTCAAGTTGCCGCACAACATTAGCTCCACGGGACAATATAATCAAAACAAATCCATGAATATTAGGATTAACAATATTATCAGTAGTAGTAAACAGGACTACGCGTGGAAAGAAGAAAAAAGTATGAGATTTCGAGGCTTAGAATCTACAAGAAGACAGTGAATTTATGTATATTATTGTGGACAATTCCAAGCCATGTTACTCATGATAATCATGGTGGACCTCAACTAGGTAGTTTGTATTCTAGTATTCCAGTTGCAAAGTCGAAATAAAACAAACAACTTGTAAATCATTTTAATTCGTAATTTAATTAAGCAATTATTTATATGAAATGAAAGTTTTCACTTTATAAACCAGGCAAGAACAATACAAATTGAAAACAATTTCTAGTTGAATGCATTTCTTAGAACATAGTGTATACTACTATAAGTACTAATGTTTCGTTAATAGACATGAAAAGTACAGGAAATTAAATAATATTCATTTTTTTGTAATATTTTTCGTCCTCTCAAAATCAAATCGTTACCTTTTCTTTCATTTTTATTTTCACAGAAAGAATAATCATATTGATCAGACACATATGAAATCACTAAACTATTTTAGGAATAATAATGAATGGGCAATTCAAAAACAGGATAGTATCGGGATAAAGTATTACATATTATAGTCATTTGAGAAAAACCAGTTCAGTGTGTCAATTTAAAGATTAATTTAAGATAATGATTATCTATGCAATAAAAACAAGGTAGGAAAATGGTTTAATACATATTAAAAAGTAATTCAAAATGAAAGATCCCACGCATAATGTATGAAAGTTCCATAGTGGGTTAAAAACTAAACTTTTGGAATTCTCATCCGTATTATTACCATTATTAATTTTTAGATAATTACGAAAAGGCAGTAAACTTATATCATTGTCATAGTTAATTTCATTAGGTAAACTACAAACCATTTTATTTTATACCAGGTTTGATAAAGTTACTTATTTTCAGTTTCAAAGAGTTAATTTTGCCCTTAGAACGTTATCATTAAATCATAAATGTTAATTAATGTATGGTTCAGCTATACGTGAATACATTCTCATGTGTTTATACCTTGCTGTTCATACGCCATTTGTTCCCTCAAGGTACTGGAGCCCATGTGCACTATTGGTTTGGAATCCGGTTAAAGCGCCGGACATTCGCTTTTCGTCCTCTCATTTTCGTAAACAATACCCCCGCCAAGAGAAGACAGTGAGCAGAACTTTCCTGGCAGAGGCTGTGTACGCGTGGTCGTGTGAGAGCATTTCGAGAGGGAGGGCGGGCCCACCCCACTCTCGGTCATACCAGGACATTTGGGATAGAGTGAGGGCATACGACCACCTTTCTCCATTGTTCCATTCAAGCACTGGGGTTAGACAGGGTTGTCTAATCTCACCATTCCTCCTCAACTTTGCCATCGATGACATTCTGGAAACAGCTCCGATGGATGTAGTTAATAACGGTGTGGATCTGTTGCCCGAGGAAAGATTTTTCGACCTTGAGTAGACGAATAATATTGTGCTACTGTGCGATAATGCCCAAGGCATGCAATCCGCACTTAATCAGTTGGCAATCAGTGTCCGTAGGTACGGTATGTACTTTGCACCTTCGAAGTGCGAAGTACTTCTACAAGACTGGCAGGATTCTAATCCTGTACTCACCCTGGATGGTGATCAGATAGTAGTCGAGAAGTTCGTGTATCTGGGTAGCTGCATAAGTGCTGGTGGGGGTGTGAGTGATGAGATCAATGCACGTATAGTGAAAGCCAGAGCGGCTTACGCCAATCTGGGCCATCTTTGGCGCCTTCGTGATGTCAATCTGGCTGTAAAAGGTCGGATCTACAAGACGTCGGTGAGGGCAGTTCTACTCTATGCTTGTGAAACCGGCCTCTCCGAGTTGAGGACGTTAGACGACTCTCTGTGTTCGATCATCGTTGTCTCCGAAGGATTGCTGACATCCAGTGGCAACACCATATTAGTAATGCAGAGGTTCGGCGTCGTGTGTTCGGGCACAGAGACGATAATGCAATCGGTGCCACCATCTTGAAACATCAACTTCGGTGGCTTGGACATGTTCTACGAATGTCGTCCCAGAGAATTCCACGTCGTGTATTATTTGCCGATGCTGGGACTGGTTGGGAAAAGCGGAGAGGTGGTCAGTGTATGACATGGTGTCATGGTACGAAAGAAAGCTACAAAGGGCTGGCTTGTGTTGGTCCTTCAGGACTCTCTAGCTGGGGTCCGAGAGATGGTGCAACACAGTGGCTAGAGACGTTATCAGATATGGCTCAGAATAGAAGCCAGTGGCGATCCTGCTGTAACCTTCTTTTACTTTATTCATAAAAAGTGGTTGTATCTTCCTTAACTGAAAGACTTCTTCTGGTTGTACTTTTCCGTTTCCCCCATTATTATTATCATTACACTACCTTACACTAATCTGTCGTTATTTTTTTTTCTTTTTTTCCTAATACGCACCTTACCTTCTTTTTCCTCTCCCCGTTCCCATTGTTTTGTGTAGCGTATATGTATTTGCTTCCCCTTGTACCAGTATTTATATGTTCAAATAAATAAATAAAATAAATAAATGAAACTAGACTGAAAAAAGTGTAGATGTACGTGTTAGTGATATTACGAAACACACAAATTCAAATTGTAGGTTGACTAGCAATGAAAATATCTTGTTAACTACGGAAGATTTGAAAATCATGATTCCACGATACTGTTGTCCTTGAAAAACTTTGAAGATTTGGCAGTGAATCGATAACAAAATTAGTTGGGAGGGTTCATTGAGTAGGAATAGTGCAAACACCTTAGTAGTGTATCTAATTTTAGGCATTTCTCAATATAACATCAGATAATAATTTAAACGCTGAATTGAGATATCATTTAAAAATATTTTTAGAGAAACTATGAACTTGGTTAACAAAAACAGGCCTAAATACTCCTCTTTGAGCCAGTAATACTACCAGAAATGCACAAACTTAAGCCAGTTTCAAATCTGCAACCTAATGGTTGATACCCGAGTGTACTTTCATCATGACTCATAATAAATAAATAAGTGAATATTACTGGACACTTACATTCGTGATCCGCCATTGTTATCTGAACAATTATCATTGTTAGAGTTAAAGACATCCGAAAAGACAGGTTTAATTTGTATACCTAAATTTTCACCACGTTTAGTATTTATCAGACGAATTGTCACTAATGAGTCTTTACTATTTATTGATTCCTGAGATTTATTTACTGAAGGTGATTCAATGATATTCAAAGATATTTTTTCAGGTACTTCATTAATTGGCTGATGATCATCTGTATTGAAATCTGATTGATTTAATGATGCAGATGATGAAAGATGTGATAAACCAGATTTACTTATAACTTGACAATTATTACTCATAGTAGCATCACGAGTATTTTCAAGCCAACGAATTACATCCGGTTTAGGTAGACCACGAATAGAATGGTTATTTGTTATTAATGGATTATCATTTGAATGAAATTGAAGATTAGACAAGTGTAATTCATTTGAACTAGGATTACATTTATCATTATTAATTGTATTCACATGTAGTACACCGCATTTTTGGACAGATGTTTGATCTTTTCTGTAAATTATCAAATTATGGGGTGGAAAGAATAAAGAAACTAAGAAATAAACTAGAATTTAAATTTACAAACATTTAGATTTGGTTATGTCTATTTTAATAATAATAATAATAATAATAATAATAATAATAATAATAATAATAATAAATACCTTATTATTAACCGAATTCAAGAAAGTAAACGATATAGGGTTTCAAAAAACAGAAACGTGATTAAAATAAGTGAATCGAGAGGAGAACGAGAACGTCATTCCTATCTGTGATGGTGGAAGATTGTCAAACTAAATCACAATGAAATGAAGTAGGAAAATACTGATGATAAGCACACGCACACACGCACCGGTACTAAAACATTAGAGACAGAGATGAGTAGACAAAAACAGAAACAATAACAATAGAAATGTACTTGTTTATCGATTCAAGTTGCAACATTTGAATTAAGCACGAAGAAAAGTGAAAGCATGATAAAATTTCAAGGAACAAATAAGTAAGTGTCATCATGATATGGAGTACTGAATATTATTTCAATGTAGTGGTCACTATTTGGAAAGTTTGATAATCAAAATACCAAGTGTATTGACGAAACAATTTATCAGACTTTTATACACATACAATTTGGTTAAAAACTAACTTGAAAACTACTGCAGTTAGTTATAGACAGCGTAGGACTTAAAATAAATGGATATCAGTCTACGATGGAATACTTCATAGTGGAAATAGTGTTGTGAAATTAGTAACGAGTAAAGCAGTGGAAGAAAAAAATTATTTGGAATGGGAAGCTAAACGTGGAAGACATTTTAAAGCAGAAGAACGAAACCAAAGAATTAAAATAGAGGAATGATACTGTAGTTGGGGTCTAGAGGATGGTTGAGGATGAATATCATCACGCCACTGTGGTTGATTCTTGGTCATGTTACATGCTAGTGAAGTAATATGTGTCGTTGTCATTATGGTTACTGTAAGTCATGGAATTTAATTCAGATAAACATCTCCAGTTAGTAGGTAAAAAGCATTACAACAAATAAAGCACACTGAATACCACTTTACTACTGTGATCATCTAAATTGTCATGAATGTTCTTGAATTATTGATTACATATCCCCTAACTACAAATTAATTGATTGAGATTAGGCGTATGATACTAGACAAAGATGGGAGGTAAGTTGGTAGAACTCTTCAAAGGTAAGTAGAACAAGTGTTGCGCATGTCCAGCTACCATTTATTCTGACAAGAAATGCTTGGCATAATGGGTAGGGATGGAAGCAATATTTTGTACCAGTTGATTAAATGGTTGATTTTTGGTGTGAACCACCTGACTAAGAAACGTTTCTTTTTGTTTACGAGTCGGTAACAAGGTACAGGTTCAGAACTCAGTTTGGAGTCAAATATTTTGTTTGATGGCTAGTAACGTCAGTTGAGTCGGCTTCTGGAGAACTTCAAAGGAGCCTCCAGAGGCCCAAAAGGAGCCGAATGGTCTTAGCCAATCAGTGTATGATGGAGTGTTCGAGAATTCCAGCGTGTCGTGCTACTATTGGTCGGTAGCATAATATGTCGTTATCGGATTGGCTGAAAAATGATGATTTAACAGACGCCAACATCTATAAATACCCATGATTTTCTGTACAAAAATGAACCTTGGGATAAAGTATTTTCTCTCATACTTTTGTCTTCTCTCTGGTGTTCAAGTCGCTGTGTAGTTCTAGACTGCGGGTTACCGAACTAGCTTAAGAAACTAATATAGTGTTCAATCGACAAGACTTATCAATGTCATGTGAACGTCCCAACCGAAGTAGGACCTGAATTCATGCCTTATTGGTTAACAAAGTGTGCCTGACACTCAATCTTGCAGTTGAAAACCTAGAGACCGAACAGTTTGTGTATTATTTATAGCTTTAATATTAGGTAGCGTATATTTAAAACTCTGACGAAATATGGATCTGCTTAAGATTACAGGTATGCTCTGTTGATGAATGTTAGAGAGAGCAAAACCTAAGCTCAAAGATTTCAAATGCTATTTTCAATAACCTGACATGGGAGAAAAACTGTAAACAGTATTAGAACTCACTCCAAAACATAATCTTTACGTAGAAGTGGATAATCTTCTTCATTCGCCTCATTAATATCAATACTACTATTAAGTAGATGATTAGTTCTAGACTTTAACATGTCGATAAGTTGGTGTTCTGTATCATATTCCGGCAAATTTGGAGGTTGTCTTTCAGAATCTACCGAATATTCTTCTTCTTCTTCAACTATAGTTGGAACAGTTAAATTGCTTTGAAATGCTGTTCCTAAACGTGTTGTTGTTCGAGAATAGGACAGACCGCCAACAGGACGACTTGTTATAACAATGGATTTTGTTGAGTATTCTACAAAAAGGAAAAGGATTTTCACAAGAATCAGGATGACTTAAAAAACCCTTATCGATAAATGAATTATGCTTGTCAGGAAGTAATTAGATAGTAAGGAGCATAAGTTGAAATAGGAGACTACTCAAAACAACGTATATAGTGGGAGTAACATGCAAACTTACTTTACACTAAGCTAATTATGATTAATTATGACACGGAATAGCCATACTTAGTGAATTTAATTATTATACAAGTTGAGATTATGGATTATAAGGAGGCTAGTTATAACGACGGCACAACAAAAATCATTTAGCTTTTTGGTTTATTAAGAGAAAAGGAAAATTGTCCAGATTGTATCACGCTGTCTATTTCGATTTTCTTGTCGAAATAATGTAGAATTACGCTGGAGAGAAAACTGATAGGTCACCCATTTTTTCTTTGTTCGATATCGTTTTTATACTTGTCCGTTTAATAATAAACTATTTTTATTGAGTTTTCCCTCTGTACAACTGAAAAATTTGCTAAACTGAGGCAGTGTATATGTTATGGATCAGCATTTAGACTACACAGGGAAAACGTAATTTACAAATTCGTATTATACTGTGCTGCCTGTTAAAAATTCTAACTTGTAATGAAGTTTTGGTTTTATGATTAAGTATAAAATCAATACTAAATAAATAGTGATCCACTTGACAATATCAATATTTTCTCCAAAGATAGTAGTCCGTAACTTGACCAATACGAAATTAAAACTAAAATACAAAATTTACGAATTACTGCAACACTAGTTACGTAAGAATAAAGTGGAATGAATTGAGTAAGCTTGAAATTAAGCAATTGAATATGAATGTTTAGTGTTATTTGTAAGCATAAAAAATAAGTATCTAGTAAAACGGATTGCATAAAAACTACACAGCCAGATTATGAGAACGGATTAAGTAAGAATAGGATTAGAAATTAAAATTAGACAAAATTGAAAAAATTTTTAGAAAAGTAAGAATAATTCAGTAGAAGTAGGTATCGTTACCAAGGTATGATTTGGGATATTAAAAATACATTATTTATTTATAATTAAGTAGAAGGTCAGAGTAAATTGTGTGGTTGCACAAACGTTTCTTGTATACAAAGATTAGATTTATTTGTGTATTTCTATAGCTTCTTCTGCGCATAAAAATACGATTTAAGGAATCGCGGGGCAAGCACAATGGAATTCTATAAATAACTTTGAAAACTAGTTCTGTTTCGATTTGGTGACTAGTACGCCCGATACATACGACCAATAAATCATCATAGTAAAAATGAAAGAGGTGAAACTTGGAGAACTACAACAACCGCCATCAAGAAGGTACAAGTATTTATAAATAGTTGTCTACGCAAGATACTCAACATCCATTGGCCGGATACCATCAGCAATAGCCTTCTGTGGGAGAGAACAAACCAACTTCCAGCTGAAGAAGAAATTAGGAAAAGACGATGGAAATGGATAGGACATACATTACACAAATCGTCAAACTGCATCACGAGGCAAGCCCTAACTTGGAATCCTGAAGGGAAGCGAAAAAGAGGAAGGCCAAAGAACACATTGCGTCGGATAATAGAAGCAGATATGAAAACGATGAATTACAACTGGACGGAGCTAGAAAGGATTGTCCAGGACAGGGTTGGATGGAGAATGCTGGTGAGCGGCCTATGCTTCTTCACGAGGAGTAACAGGCGTAAGTAAGTAAGTAAACAAATGAACGAAAAGCTAAATTAGAGTGTTCACCTAGGGAGTGAAAAAACACTGTAGTCATGGCATATCCTAAAGAAACTTCAGAAAGGATAAGATTCTAAATATGCATGATAAAAAGTTTATATTCAAGGTAGTGATGCTATAGATACTTCTGAAAGTGAAGTATATGATATCAAAAGAGTGAAAACAAGACTATCTATGAAGTAAGTCACCATAAGAGTAGGGTGGTGGGAGCTAAATGCCATGGCAAAGAAAAACTTTGAAATATGTTCCTAAATTCTCAGAACTTAAGAAGCTCGAAAATAAATTAGCAATAGCACTATACTGATTAGAAATGGAAAATAAAACTAACTTTGAAGGAAGGTTTTTAGAGCTCATGAGGGAAGATTAGCAGCTGAGGTTTTATGACGACAGGAGACAGAATACGGTCGGCTACTCCACAGTCATTGTTGGTTAACACATAAATATATGGCATTTCATATCTAACCAGCTGTCGATACCGCTCGCAGCTTGACCCCAACAAAGATGAACGCTTATTTAATCATGTTTGGGGTTATCTGTGGTTGCCCTTTATTTAATGTCTCCATTAACTATACGACTATTTGAAATCTACACAAACTTCGACTGGGTTATCTTACTGATATGTACTATTTATTTTTTAAGAAAAAAGCGGTTAACTAATACTTCGTCGTAGTCACATTGTAAACGATTTTCACATCGAATATTTGATGACCTTACTATAGTATACAAAATAAACATCTGGACGTTTTATTTTTGTTAAAAAAAATGGTGATTTTGTAGTGAGATTGTTATTCACAGGTACAACACAAAGTTACTTGCGTCAAGGGGGAACTTGACATTTGAAACTATTTTCAAGAGAATTGGGAGAATTTAGGTGATAAATCTGCTTGTGAATCGAACTATCTCATTTCAACACTTGGTCTTACCAATTAAAAATGAGGCATGAGTAATGTTGCATATCTACAGTTGTATAATTCCAGGCTTTTAAGTACATACATATAATCCTGAATCAAAATTTATACACTTATAACCATACAATTTTTAAATACTTACGAAACTGTACGTGGTCCGGTCTCGACTGATGTAATGAATTACTAACCATATTATTTTCTGATATATGAGTATTCGATAAATGTAGCATATTTTGTTGTCGAATAGAATCGTCATACTGTGTGACCAAATTAGGCTTAAAAAGCAAAATGAAACATAAACCATTAACCGATAAAGATTATAGATGTTTGAGGATTGTCTGAAAAAAAACCAGATAACGATACCTTAATCTACCTTTTATGATTGCTGTCATTCGATCACTTTTATGTATGAATCAAGGAGCAATGTGATCCCAAATGACTTTAAGTTTCTGTCAAAATAAAACGAAAGAACTTAAGGAATCAGATCGATTCAGGAAAATGAACGAAAACTAGAACAGTAGACGATCGAAACACCGGTTTTTGACTCAAGCGATTATATAAATAAAGCAAAACTGAAATTCCCATGTCCAATCTTGTTATTAATGATGATACAAATGTTCCTCAGTCCTAAACTAGAACTGAACAATCCTTGAGTGCATCCAGGTAATCGACAATACTTTGAAGTTTGAACTAGTGTGAGAACAACTTTTAGTTAGCGATCATCTATATACAGAAAAATAAATAAAAATGTAATGTTGTGGACATTTTCCTAATAAACGTTCTATGTTGATACAATCGATTGTCTTAATTATGAGGGTATTTAAATTGCAAACTCTTTGTTAATAAAGGGTACAAAAGAATAGAATATATCATAATTGATCAAACTAGTATGTTGATAAATGCCTTGTATTAATAAAAATGCTACTCAAATAAGATTGGTGCAATCGCACATGAACTTGAAAAATTGAGTAACTGGAATGTTAGAATGTTTTGTTTGACAAATCTCAGGTGGGTGGCTTATAGAAGTTAGTTACCTAACCTCAATTACTCGGATTTATAATTTGGTTTGCTTAGTTCATTCATTTCACACTACCATTTTCAGTTTGTATTGTCTTATAGTATAATTTTGATAGTATTTGTGAAATGCCTAAGTCTCTCTAATTATTTGAATAAAAGAGGTGAAATTCATAAAATACACTCTCCTCTTTAAAAAAGTTAGGATCATTAGAAAGAAGATAGAAAACTCACCTGAGAATAACTGAGGGGACTTCGGAGTTCTGACTGACTGACTAATGAATTAGATACTATGTCTGAAGTTGTGCAAAATTGGTCGGAACCATTCAAATTTGAAAATGAATTATGACTTTGAACTGCACGTATCAGTCGTTCAGTATTTATACCTATATGATATTCGTCTTCTGGAGAATGTACTCTACACGGGAGATTAGTAGGATTATTAACATGTGGAACATCGGAAGCAGAAAAAGGTGGAGGTGGAAGAGGCCAAATATCTGCATCTGATAAAACAGGGTGATTACTTGGTCCATCACAAGTCCCGCTTGGTGTAAGAGTCACCGAGGGATATCTTACAGTCGAAAAGTTATCGTTAGTATTTTCATGGTGACTATTACTTTCTGTGACATCTAAACAACGGTGATTTCCTCCAGGTAAAGAATTAGGTATTATATCTGAATTATTGTTTATGGTATCTGAGTGAAAGATAGTATCACCATTGGGTAATGACACAAATTCATTCTGCTGTTCACCTACTTGGCAATCGTATGAATAGCCTCCATCAGGATCAAATGCATCTTCATCTTCATCATCAGAATCCCAACCAGACTCAATAAGATCACGACGGCGAGATAAGACATTTGAGAGCTTAAAATTAAAGAGATTTAAATACATGAAACAAATATTTCAAAAAGCATATGATTTGATAACTAACTTAAGCGTTGGGTTCAAGTTAATAAAACGTAAGGGATATTGTCTGAGATGCCCCAAATGCCCTGGTATGGCCGAGAGTGGGGTGGGCCCGCTCTCCCTCTCGAAATGCTCTCACACGGCCACGCGTATACAGCCTGTGCCAAGGAAGTTCTACTCCCTGCCTTCTCATGGCAGGGGTGTTGTTTACGAAAATGAGAGGACGAAAAGCGAATGTCCGGCGCTTTAACCGGAGTCCAAACCAATGGTGCACATGGGCTCCAGTATCCTAAAGGAACAAATGGCGTATGAACCGATCATTGGTCACCGGTTACCATGGGAATGCATCTCCTCACGATGCTCCACTACCTTGTGGGTCAGATCTTTAGGTCAAAGGCTCGGGGCGTGGCCCCCCTAAGAAGATCACCTGCTTCGGTCTGGGCACCCGGGCAGTATTACAGCCCCCATACACAAATATGGTGTGGCGCATATATATTTGGTGCCCTCTTGTACCAATATTTATGTGTTGAAATAAAATATTAGTAAAATAAATAAATTGTCTGAGATAACTATGATGTGTGGCTAAACTTACTAACTCACTAATAAACTCGGTGTGATATTTATTAAAGACACGATGTGGGAAAATTCATTTCAGCCGTGACATACAAATATATGAAGTTAGTAGACACCAGTTTAAGTTTTATAACAAATTACGGGTTTTCTGATCAGAATTTATGAGATATTGGAAACTTGTGATTAGAAGTAGAACCTGGAACACATGTGCATCCGTCCAAGTCCCCAGACCACGTCAGCACGGTGCTTTTAGAGATAGTCATTTCATCATCTGGATATCCGGAGTTTGATCAACCAGATCTACTTGTTAACTAAGGATACGCAAATGATATAGTTCTTTTTGGTGAAGACAATGATAAAATACAGTCTTCTGACCACCTTAAGCAACAATCCAAGCATGTTCCGGATACGGTTCTCTCCCTCCAAATCCAAAATGATGCTTAGTGATTAGCTTGTTTCACTACCTAAATTAACGATGGGACTGAAGTAGTTGGACGCATCGACCACTTCAATTACCCCGACAGTCTCATCAGTCCTGATGGTCTGGTGTCTGATGAGATTTCAGTACGGATTCAGAAGGATCGATTGGCTTTTGTCATCTTGCGTCACTTGCGGCGTAGGCGGGATATCTGTTTGTCAACAAAATGACGAGTTTACCGAGCAACAGTTCTCTGTTCTACTTTAAAGGTGTGGAACATGGCTATTAAGAATAGAAGACATCCGTAGGTTACTTGCATGCGATCACGGGTATCTTCAAGGCATTACTCGTATATTGTGAGACCAATGAGTTAACAATTATGAGGTTAGATACAGAGGATTAGGTACGTGTGGCAAATGAACTGACGAGGTAGCGAATCTTTATCGAATGAGATGGTTGGGACATGTACTACGTGCGCTTATCTATAGATTACCTCGATAGGCGATGATGACTGATATGGGAGTAGGTTGGAGGAAAGCTATGAATGTTCAAACTAAGACATGGCACCAGTTCATGAAGATACTGACTGTTGAACTGAACCATGTAGGAAGGTACATGCAACCTAATTTGAATTCACGTCATCAACATAACTAATGGTTAGATGCCTTGAGTGACATGACTGAGAATCATTTACAATGGCATATATATACTCACTCTTTGTCTTCCCTTAGATCCTAAGTTTGTTAATTGGTTGTAAATCTCTTTTTATCTTCGATGTTTGATCTTTGTTATTACTAATAATATTGTTATTACCTCTACTACTCTGGGATTTGGTCTAGCGATTTCATCTCTCGGTGCTAATGGGGTGAGTCAACTTGAATCTATGTACAAACGTAGGAGGTTCGATGTTTTGACTGACTGATCGGCTGAATTAGTACAATGAAGTGAATTTCCAAAACAAATTTCATAGCATGATGAGTAAAAGTATCAGTAGAAGCGATACGATTTGTGAATAGAAAATGAGTTTGTGAACCCTATAGACAAATAAAGTTAGCACAGATAGATCTATTTCATATTTATAACTATTAAATGGTAAAATGTTAGATTCAATTGAGAATCAACAACTTAAACTGTTCAAGATACTAGAACGTTCAGTAAACGAACAACAAACAGTACACTAATATTCTTTTTTCCGAGAACAATTGAAGTTTGAGGTGAAATACGGTACATAACATGGCTTCATGAATGTTTAACTGTTTAAAATTTGCCTACGATTCGTTTCGTCATATACGTATATCCTACCTTTTTAAAGATCTATCCTATAAGTTTTAATAATTCTTTACATCTCTTGTTGAGATATTTTGAAGTGTGGATTCTTCAATGAATTCAGCAGTGTAAAATTCCACTAAGCCACTAAACGTATCCATAAAAATAAATCTGAACGACTCATTATACATATAAAGAACTAACCATTTCAAAGACATTCGGTGAAAGTGTTCTTTGACAATGCTTCGAAATTGCTGCATCATTTATGGTGATACTATTCGAACAGGACTTATTGCACGAAACCGGAGAGCTTATCAGTCGTTCACACGTACTTGATACTGTATTGAAGCAAGCAAGTGGTGACTGAGAAACTGAAGAGGTTGTAAAACATTTCTTCTTATTACCAGAAGAGGATACTGCTGAAACACAATTCACTTTAATGTTGGGATCTGTTGCAAGGAAAAAAATAATTACAAACGAAGGCCTGGTAACTCACAAATGAGGAACAGCGTGACTCAATAGAGTCGGACAGTTGAGACAATGTAGGATATCACACAAATGTGAATACGGTCATCGTGAAGACACAGACGAGACAGTTTGTATCAGTCAGTCATATGCAGCGTATGACTTCGAACATATATTCACCAGTTCAAGATGCCATACCACACTAGCGCAGAGGTAGTATCAACATAAATATCAGTAGAAAATATTAGGTGTAGACAATAGGAACTGAGAGAAAAGGTTGAGATCTTGGGATAAAAAGTATAAGTTGATCCTGAGACTTAGAACCCAAGCGGAGACAAAGAGTGTGCAATACAGTTAAGCCAAAAAGTCAGCGACTTTATGGACTAAATCCATGTCATCGTTCGGCTACTTTTAACTTTTTTCAAAGTCACTTACTCCATTTACAACAAAAGATAATTAATCTCCATATGTACAAACGACGGCTGAGGTACAAATTTGAGTTACAGGTTTATAATTAATTAGCTATGACTTATGACATGGCTCAAAAAAGGGATCGATGAAAGCAGATGCATTCGTAGTTTGTCTTACATTATAACTTTATAAACAAGAGCACCTAGTTAGAGTATATCCAACAGTGTTTCAAAATTTGAGGTAAAGCGGTATTTTAACAACCAATCAATCGGTCTACCTACTACCTTGAGTAGGGTGGTGGTTTAGTGCTTAAAATACTTGACTTTCATACGTTGGGCTATAAGTTTGAATGCCCACCCACCCAGTTCGGTTTATATTGCTAGATATTATACCGATACAAGCTTGGAGCCGAGTACGTAAACCAGGTCTTTGTCACACAGTTGCATTTAATCCACAAACTGGATTTTAGTCTCTTAAATGTAAAACGTAAACCGGTTGTTTTATGAATTATCTAACAGTGTAATTATCAGTACAATATACAATCAACGATGATCAGAGACATGGAGCTTACACTTTACTTTTAGACCTTAGCACTAGTTGTGGTTAAAGTGCTTAGATTTCAAGTGTTAGAGCACAGGTCTTGATTCCACAATACTTGACTCGGTTTGTGCAGCTCAATAGTATACTTGTTCCCCAAGAAGTGTAGTTCGATGCTGAATATAGACATGCACTTGGTACATAATTTACAGTCTTTAGTTAGCATATCAGACAGTTATAAATTGCACACTGTTATTTTTATGTGAAAATAAAAGGATACAAACGACCAAAACATTTATCAAAAACTCACGCAGCGCTGCATTAGAATCATGGGAAGACTCATTCAGAAGCCATTCGTGGATATCACCGGGGAACTGAGATGCATGCGCTCCATTTGGTTGATGCAATCCACAGCTATCATTACTTAGATTTAAACTTAAGTTACTACTGCTTGTACTTCCATCTCCGATACGCAGAAGCCTGTCTGCGATATGACCATTGATGTCAGTTTGTCTTAATCCAATTCCACAAGGAGGTGCGAGATTCAATCCACTATCTCTAAATTCACTAGCCCCGCTAGACTGGATGGGACTATGAAATGAAGGCTCGACAGCACTATCAGAACATAAATCGACAACTAAGGGTGTAGAAAGTGATTGAAATATAGAATCAAGGGCAGTTGAGGGTCGATTTGGACAAGAATCCTTGATATTGTTTGATAAAGTGGCGACCGAAAAGTGAGCAGTAACCTACCAAAAGACGAAAATCCAACAACTTTGAGAGTTACTACATGTCGTGCAATGTTATTTGAACTTAAAATCGATACAATCTGAATACAAGGAGATTGATTATATGAGGCTATGAAAGCATAAAAGGTGGAAAGGATGAAGGAATAGATAGAAGAGAAAACAAACCATATTATGTTATTTAAGATTGCTTAAAGTTCTTTTATCGACTGAGTACCGATTAAAACTGTAAAACATTTACCACTGAGTTTAGACTTCTAGCATATATTGTATTCCCTTGAGCTATACGTCAAACAATTTCTTATAATCTATACGAATAGTTGGTAGGAACTACCAAACTCAAACTTAACAAACAATGACAATAACTTTCGTTTATTCAAATGGTATCTGCAATGCTAGTCAACGGGATATAAATTTTCAGGCAGTGGAAAAGTATAACAAGAACCACTCCACTCGAAACAACTAGATAGTGAATTATATATATATATATATATATATATATATATATATAACAAACGGATAAAACGTGTTTTAAAAGATTTTTTCGCATTACCACAGAACTAAGAGGAACTTATGATGGCAAATAATAAAAGCCACAAAAAAATTTTATGACGAGGATAAAAGTGGGATACGTACCATTTCACGATCGTCTACCACATCGCAGACCAAATCATCCCAATCAAGCATACCACCATCTCTAGCAACATTGATGCTGTGGACGACAATGCGATCCTGTGGCCCGAGCTACAAAATCATTGATTAATGGTGATAAGTCATCATAATAGACAGATTGTGTATCTCGAAACATTAATGAATCATTGTAATGATAAAACGTTCATGTAGGAAACCAGAAAACAAACCTTCGGTAAAGTATGCCTGACCCTCCTTAAACCACTGAGAGTCAAGTCTCTAACCGTTAAGTTCCCTGAACCACAAGGAACCACGACCTTTGTGTCTCCAAAGCAGACCGTCAACTTCATGTTCCATTTCTGACAGTGATGACCTTCAAGAGACAGCTGTGGAAATTACTCCCAGTGACCTTCGTCAGATTTACCCATGTTAAACAATCAGATTTATTTCACAAAGTATCTATTACATACTAATGTTTCGAGAGTGTAATTTTTATAGTATACCTTCTACAGGCACTGCCGTTTCGCGGTAGGCACGGTGTCAATATATTGTAGTGACCTACTTTTATCAATAAAACGCGATTGATTTAATGGAATCAATCATTATTTTAACCAATTGTACCAGTGATTGTTTTGTTGTTCTTATTTGCCTGAATGTACTAAAAACATCCATTATTCTTCTATTATCCTTCCGTGGATTGTGACCATGTACGCTACAACGTTCGCCCACTGATTCCACTTGTATTTCTTTGTCACGATCTCGTTATTCCTTCGATACCACGAGATCGCCAACGAATAAACCTCGCTACAACCTGCAACCGCCTTTTGATTTCTGGCACGCAACCTCCTTGTAGCGGTGCTCATAGTCAAACGTTACTCGACGCCACACTACAATATGTTTCCACTAAATAGCACAACTGCCTTGAAAATGTCTTATGACGGTGGGCCTGATATGATTCCTTCATCATTTGTGAAATGTGGTAATAGAGAACTCCTATTATGTTTTTAACTTTTCAACCTATCTATGGTATATGGTACCTATCCATCTGTATGGAAAACATTTCTTATCACCCCTAGGTTCGAAATGGGATCACATAGTGATATGGCTAACTATATGCCCATTAATTTGACATCCGTGCTATCAAGAACCATGAAAAAAATCATCCACAAACGGCTACTATCATTTTTACTTTCGGGTAGTCTTATTAGCTCACCTCAACACAGGTTTATGACTAAACTCTCATGATTCACATTGCACCTGGAATATTTTGATCGGATTACCCAGAGAGATGTTGATCAGTCAATGATAATTCTGTGCTTCGATTTTAGTAAAGCTTTCGACAGTGTCTTACACAAACGCCCTCTAAAACTCTCTTCATTTGGCATAAAGAATCCACTTTTTTCTTCGCTCAAATCTTTTTTAGAAGAACGTAGCCAAATCGTCTTGTAGGGCCATTGAGATTTCACTAAGCCCTAACCAAATCGTCCGGCAGTCGGGTCACTGAATATCGAACCGATCACTGATCCCTGTCAAGGTAAAGGACGACCAACGCGAATCAGTTAATCATACGCCATGGACTGGCCCATATGGTGGTGGTCTTACTTTCGCTTGTATCTAATTTAACTAATATAGTTCTGTAATAGCGTCCTTTGTGTTCTACAGTCTTCAAAGCATTTAAAGTACCTCGATATGTCAATGAGGTTGTTCACTTAAGGTGCTGACCACGAGGTGTGACTTCCACGTTTGAACTTTTCTGAGCACATTGCATTTCAAGTATCCAAAGCCAGAAAGCTCATCGGATTCATAATGTTAAACTTCAATAATGTCGAATCGAGATTGCTGTTATAAAGAAAATGTATCAAACCCATTCCTGAACATGGTATAGTAGTTCACAGTAATCGCAGGCATAATGACCTGAATAAAAATGAAGGTGTGTAGAATTGTGGTCTACCATGGTATTAGTACTGCTCTAACGATAGACCTAATCCTAAAATTATATATTTGTCATGATTTAACTGCCCGATCCATAAGATCTTACATGGAAGTCACATCATTGTCTACAATGATTTACCGTATCGTAATAGTCACCAATACATGATGGAGAACAAGCTTAGACTAGAGATAAAACAATATATTTAAGATGAATAAAAGATACAAAATAGCATTCAATGGAGGCCACGCCTGCAAGGCCAGGCCATGCCATCCGGTGAATTCGAAACCCTCCAATTCATTGTTACCGCCCTCTCCGTCGTAGGGTTTTTTGCCGCGTCAAATGTTGAATATGTATTCTCCCAGTTGTCTTGTGTTCACCTTAAAGGATTTTGTGGTTATGACTAAGTACCGCTACAAGTATACAGGGTGAAACGGGACCGTAATCTGAGCGCAATATCATACGGAACACCCCTAACTAATCTCGCGAGATGTTTTTCCACTGAAGAAGCATAATTGTGCAAGGTATACAGAAAAATACGAACCCTACTCAATCAAACTCTGACATCAGGGAATGGAAATTCATTAAACAGTCCTTGAGGCTCAAACACATACTGACTTAGCATGTGGCAAGACTAGCCAAGAAGGATGGTGATCCTAGACCACGTCTAATGAAGATAACCTTCCCATCCTCCCACACGGCGGCCGCAACTCTGGAAGCATTTCTTGCAAACAGACGTCGACTGCCACCTGGAATCCATATGCACCTAGATAGGCCATACGAAGCTATGACCAAACACAAAGGCAAGATGGGGCTGACCATTCCACTTGTCGACTGTCTAGATGATAAAAAAAACGTGTAAAGAACAGGGCCTACCACCTCGGCAAACTTCATATAGGTGGGCTACCTGTCCATTCACATAAGGCTCATACAGACAAACAGGACGAATCTCACGCGTTCAAAATCGAAAGCATAAACTGCTTATATATGAACGCCTCGAGTCTATCAAACAAACTGGATGAATTACGTGAACTTAGCAACACTAATAAGGCCCATCTGGTAGAAATATCTGAAACCTGGATATCTTCTCATGTTTCGGACCAAGAGTCAGCATTACCTGGGATGTCTTTGCTCCGCAACGACAGAAAATCAGGAATTGTGGGCGGAGTATCCGTATGCGTACGTTCTTGCTTGGAGATGCACCAAGTTCATAACCTCGAGGTTAACAATCTTGAGGAATCCATATGGTGCTCTGTAAGATTGTCTAGCACTTCGAGGTGTCTAGTCAGTGTCATTTACAGGAAGCCAACTGCTGAAATCGAGTACGATAGTCGTATGCTGGATGGACTATCCCGGTCTACCCATCTCGGTTTCACACACATCCTGATTCTAGGGGACTTTAATCTCCCTAGAGTCAACACACGTATACTGGGGGCGACAACTCAATTGAAGCTCGGTTCTTTAACCTCATCGATGACTTGGGCTTATATGAAAATGTTAGGTCGGCAACTCGTCGGAGAAACAGTCAGACACCGTCGCGGTTAGACTGTGGATTCACAAACGAAGAATTCCTAGTTGATAACCTCTCAATCCTGGCTCTTCTGGTAAAGAGCGATCATGCCGTCATAGCCTTCAGTTTTGTCACCAAAACTAAGCTAAGGTATCCCAACAATAATTTGCGTTGGAATTTTAAACGGCTGAATGTGCCAGCTCTACATGACTATCCACAACAGGTGGTTTGGTATGTTCACCACCAACTCGATGTGGACGGTCATTGGGACTTCTTACTGCATACGCTCTTATGTGCTACAAACCATTCAGTTCCTCAAACGGTTCCCAAAAGCTGTAAGCCACCTACAATAATCAATAACCGTACCCTTCGCCTGCTAAGCCGCAAAAATGCACTATTGGGCGGGATACAAACGAACTGACAATGACGGAGAGTACAGGAGATGTAAACATATAAGGAACATATGCAGGAAGGCTTCGGTACCAGACAAAGCTTATGGACAAATTTTCCTCTAATCCCAAATGCTTATTCCGTTATGCAGCCTCTCTTCGTCAAGCCAAAACTGGAGTTTCCCAACTGCTAGGTCTTAACGGCCTGACTAACAACGATGGCGACACCGCTAACCTTCTGGCTGAACATTACTCTCAGACATTTCAACTAACCGACTTCAACTTTACTGATGACAGTTTCATCTGCGATTCCATAGAACTTTCCGAAGTGAACCTAGGCGCTGACTTGGTGTTCCAGAAATTTCAGCACTTAAGACTAGACACTTCTCCTGTCCCGGTTATGGTCCATTCTGTCATACTAAGGGAAGCAGTCTCGATTCTGGCAATGCCACTTAGCGTGATGTTTTCACACTCGCTAAGCCGAGGCAAACTACCGGAAAATTGGAAGTTGGCTCACGTCACACCAATTTTCGAGGGAAATTGACGCAGTGAACCTTCAAGTTAACGGCCGGTGGCTCTTCTGTCATTACCTTCAAAACTCATGGAGTCCCTGATATGCGGCAGCTTAACCGACTATCTGCTGTCCTTAAATTTCTTCTCACCACAACAGCATGGTTTCAGGAAGGGCTACTCTTGTATAACCAACCTGCTGACTGCGGTGGACAGATGGACAAGCATCCTCGATCGCAAGGGAAAGGTTGACATCGTCTACCTAGATTTCTCAAAAGCTTTTGATAAGGTTAACCATACATGTCTTATCAATAAACTCAAACGACTAGGTATCAGACCACCTCTAATCGTTTGGCTTAGTTTATACCTGAAAAATCGACACTTTAAAGTTAGGGTTAATTTCACTTTATCTCAGGCTATGGAATGTCCAAGTGAGGTCCTCCAGGGCTCAGTACTAGGACCTCTTCTCTTCTCGATCTGCATAAATGATCTTCCTCAACAGGTAACGTCAGAGTTATTGCTCTTTGCCGACGACGTTAAACTTTGGAGAGAGATACGCAACCAAGACGATACACAGGCACTTCAGGAGGATCTGACTCGACTCCAAATTTGGGCAGATGATTATGGTCTTACTTTTAACACTTCAAAGTGTAAAGTAGTTCATCTGCGACATGTCGCTAACTACAGTTACAACTTAGGAAACTCCTCTCTCGTAGTATCCCAAGTCGAAAAAGATTTAGGAGTCCTGGTGCCCCATGATATAAAGTCTTACGCTAAATGTGACAAAAATGCCTTCCGAGAAAATCTTGCACTGGTAACGTTGGAGCGCATTTTTGGACAGTTCGACGGAAGAACTTTCCATACAACCTTCAATAGTTTCATCCGTCCACACTTAGAGTACGGAAACATAGTACTCCCCCTCACTCCAAAAGGACAAGGTCACTTTGGAGCGTATCCAACAGCGAGCCGCGAAATCAGTTCGAGGACTCAAATTTAAACCTTACGAAGAGCGCCTCCATTCATTAGACTTTTACCCATTAAAGTATAGGCGTCTTAGAGGTGATTTATTAATGGCTTATAG